TTCACACTCCTACACACTTTTGTAAAAGGTGTTGTTATGGTGATATATTTCACATGCTGGTTTTTTCCCTAGGTCTCTGTTACCACTTTTTTTTGTTGTTGTTTGGTTTGGTTTGCTTTGTTCCTTGTATAGTTAAATATGCCCATGAGTGATCAGTTTGGGATATTTAACCAAGGACCAGCTGAGATTTTTCTTGTAGATTCATTTTTGTATCTCAGCTTGGCTTTGCTGATTTATCTGTGAACTAACTGCTTACAGTCATTTCACTGGTCATGTTTTTCATCTGCTCTTGTAATTTTGCTGCCTCCTGTACTTCCTGTTCATTGGAGTGAAAAGTTTTCTGGTGTTGTTTGCCAGCTTTGGCTATCCTCCATACCCCACTGCTCCATCTCTCCTAGGGCACTTGAGAAGGCTTGACCTTTCAAATTTCTTCATCGGCTGAACATTAATACTGCCCAGGGAAAAAGGTATCAGCTGTGGTTTGCAGTCTACTGTTAGTGGTGGACAGAGTGAGAACTCCACTTTTACTTGTGATTATTTTTGGTTATTTTATTTGTGACTGAGTTTTCAGGTTGATTATTATTAAAATGCATGAAAGTGTGCAATATCCACTCAGCAACCCTGAAAGGAGCATATTCTTGAATATCAGAGCAGCACTACAGTAAATTGCCTCTTTATCTATTATAAGATTGCATACAGAGGAGATAACAGCAGAGCTAATGAGGCTGTGCATATAGATGGGTTACATTAGTAATGAGAAACAGCTATGCTAATTAACTCTGCTCCCTAATGAAATTAAATTCAGGCAGTAAAATACATTTATAATAAAGCCAATACAAACCCAAAGTATACCAGTTTCTGATTCCTTCACTATGGCAGGGTGACACAAACAGTGATTATATATTATCATGGAACAGTAATCATTGCCAGGGAGGAAGGGGGACTTAGTATTGGTAGGCTGAGGGTGTGCCATTTTCTGCCAAAGAAAATAATAGCTTCCTTTCCTCACCCCTTTCTCTCCTCTAGATGTGCAGACTGGTAAATTAGTGAACTATTATTTCTCACTTTTAAAGTTCATTTTGGAAAAATAACTCGACACATTAATTTGCACATGTAAATTCCTTAAAAGCAATGTAGGCTCAAAATGTAAGCTTGAGTTGGAGACATAAAGCATCATTTTTTCCTACTGAGCTCGCAATTATTTTCATGATTGAGACAATGGTGACAACGGCTGTTGACTCTTCCATTTTGCCCTGTAACATTTAGGTCAACTTGCTTGCTGGTCTGTCTTGGTGACAGTCAGATCATCTCCATCTTAGCAAACTGCACAAGCATATTCTCATAGACCAGTCCCACTAATTATTGTCTGCCCTCCACTCCATGAGCACCTCCTTAATATTGCTGTTTGGATGCTCTGCTAGTTCTTGGCTTTGAGAGTGTCCTGGTTTTCCATGCACCAAACTGAGTCAAGGCCATAAATACTTTAGTTCTTGCGTGACTTGAGTAATGAATTCTGTTCCATCATGCCCCTGCAATACATTAGGGGCTCCGAAAGTGAGAAAGAGGTCAAGAAGCTGTAGAGCCACCTCAGCTGCTTTTTTTTTTTGATGTAAGTGGACAGAGAACACAAAATTGATGATGCAGTCCTTGTACACCATTATCCACTTCAAGTTGCCTAGACACATAGACTGCATACTGATAAAGTCAGTTTGTCCCTGTTCTAAGTGCTCCTCGTTCAGAACAGAACAGACCAGCCAGCAAACCATTCCAAGTAGTGCCTTATTTTTTCGTGCCATACTACACAAGGATTTGAAGTGCTCAGCAGCATCTCTGGTGATGTTTGCATACTTAGACAACAAGCATTTCTTGACATGGTTGCAGCCACCGTGCCCAGTAGCCATATGTACTTTTTGGATGATATCAGATGTGTCCTCGATGCTCATGTACTACGTGGGATATTCCTCTTTCGTCTGCCTCCTCTTAATCAGTTTCTCAGTGTCTCCACATTGTAGAATTTAATATCTGAAATAAGGGAAATATCAAGCAGTTTGTTAGCAATAATACTGTGTATTTAAATGGGGAAAGCAGCAATGTATACACCTACAGTTAAAAAAACCAGAAAGAGTAGGTTCTCCACACTTACTTTGTAAGCAGATAGTATTCGTGTCTTGACTTCAACTTGGGATTCGGTTTTGTCTTCTTTATTTCAGCAATAGTTGCACAATGCTTTGCCTTTGGGTCATGTACTTGGAACATTTCTTATACTTTTTGTATAGTTCTTCTGTAAATTTAACCTCAAAGTCCCAAGGTATCTTCAGGAATGATTACTTAGCAAGTAGAGATTCAACTCCCTCCTTTTATGTACAACTCTTCTTGCAGCAATTTCTGACGTATGCTACAGTCATATTGTGAAACCAGTCATTTGTAAAATGACTAAAATCTTCAGCCATTTCTCAAAATGACTTGCAGTTATTTTGCAAAGTGACAGAAAATAGTAGGCAGGTATTATGCAAAAAATAACTTATCTCTAGCTTTTTGAAATTATCACCTTAAAAGACAACAGAAAGAACTGTTTTATTTCATTTTATTTCCCAAAATGTTCAAAACCACAGAGTATATTGCAGAGCAAATGATATATTTTCTAAAATAAAAGCTCTGGTGAGGTCAACTTTACTTTGTAAAATTTGCAGCTGTTTTTAATTTTTTGTTCCATTTGATTGATACTTGAAACACCTGATCTTCCCCACTAGAACAATAGTGACAACAGTTAACATTTTGTGAAATGCTAGAAACTGTTGGGCATTTCAGGTGATGGCCAAGTAAAGAATACAGTCCAGTGGTATTTGGTGCAGAATAGTACCACCAACTTAAAGCATGCAATTACGATCCCCTAATACTGCTCATTATCATTCTGAGTTGGAATTAATTTCATAAACATAACTTTTTATTTGGAAAAAAACCTCACTAGCTCACATTTTTTGTGATGCTATGGTGCAGGGAATTGTGAATGTGTACATTTTTAGAATAATTAAACAACTTGTTATTTTAACACATACATGAACAAGATTGGTTAAGCGGTATAGTCAGGATGTACTGCTTGTAAACGTCTTTTAATTTTGAAAGTCTTGCCAAATTCAGATACAAAATGCTTTTCATTTATAGGCACATTTGCAGGAAGGACTTGCTTATCTTTTTCAGTGCATAGCCATTTTGTTTGTTAACAACTGAACTATGACAGAAGGGTTATAATACAGTGTTACAAAGATATGCAGTGTCTACAGAATGCATTCAAGGTATTTTCTTCCACCACTTACGTTTCTATAGGAGGAAACAATAACTTTGTGCCATTTTCCATCTTCTCTCCCACCACAAAGAAAAATGGATTTGTTTGTGTAGTTTTAAAACAAATCTGGATCAGAGCAATTTATTCCTTTCTTAATGACACATAATTAACCAGTAGTGAACTACACATTCAAGTTGACTCCTTCCATGTTATGGAAGTCTCCATAGTTCCCCAACTACTGTTGAATCTGGCTGGTAGTCATCTTCCTCTTTACCGTGATCCTTTTGGGGCAAACGCTTTCTTGGACATTTTTTTTTCTCAGATCCACACACTCTGCAAGTTCTCACATTTCTATCTTAACAGATGTTGTGATCCAGGCTATTTGCCTATTCCACCTGGAAAAGGTGGAATTCAACAGCATCTCGAGGACAGTCGGCCATTGGAAATCGATCAGTTGATAACCTCTAATTTCTAACATGATTAAAATATTATCCTACTGACCCCAGATGAAAAAATGTGACCTTATGCAGATGTCAAGAAAAAGAAAGATACATTAGCCATTGCTATAGCAGTCAGAGATGTATGCTCTTTTTATTGGGATAGGTGTAAAGCAGCTGAGCTATGAAAGCCTGAATGTCTTTCGCAGAATTATTTTCCTGAATTTTTCCTCTTTTCTAGTGGAATTCAATTCTGTCTTCAAAGACAGTAACTGACAATGCCTCACTGTGATATAATAAGCTTTTTACCTGCACCAGGTTTATTAGCTTTTTCCATCCCTCCAATCCAAGCAGTAACATTTTAATTTCTTCTACCAGTACAGGCTACTAAATTTATAGAATTGATTTCAAGCTAAAGATGCTGTAAGCAATTAGTTATAAACTTCAAAATTGCACAAAATCAACATGTAATAAAAAAATTTTGTTACCTTGGAGATCTAAAATATTTGACTTTTTAAGAGAAGTCAACTGCTGTCTCAATGATAGAAACAAAATGATCCTCACTGTTGAATATTTTTTAAGAATTGAAAAATTCTGTAAGTAAAAATATAGGCTTTTGTTTGAATTTACAATGTTAATTTCAGTAACGATGTGTAATTTGTTGTTAGAGATGTATTTATAATGTGAGAAAGAGAACAAAACTCTTTTCTGCTGCAGTGATACCATTTCCAAAAAGGTGATTTTGAGAAAATATTTTGAGAAATAACTATTGCTAGTTTGTTTTTAAAGAGATGGTTTAATTGTTCAATTCACTTAGAAAGTTATGCTTGTCTTTACAGTGAAGGAACAGCACTACTCAGGAGGAACAATAGCTTCCCTTGTATTTTATGAAAGCTTGTGGGAAATAAATAAGAAATGTATATGGAAAATTATATAGATCTTTACATTTCAAAAACCTGTACCTTATTCCATAAAAAACTTCTGTTCTATTTGTGTTTCTACATACTTTGCAAATTCCCTTGAGTCCCCTCCTAGTGCCTTTGACTTCACAAAAGTTGATGTAAAACCAGTAAGACAGAAAAGCCCATGCCCTTTCCTCCCTCTCCTCCAGGTGCATCCACAAGTCACCAGGTAGCACCGCGATGAAAACCCAGAGGTAACCTTCTAGTTTACCATGTGAAACACTGGAGGCAGTTCACCACATTACTTCAGGTTTGCCATGCCTGTCCAGTACCATGTTCTGCCAGGTCTGGGTCTGTGCATGCTGCAGGAGGTTGATGCTAGCAGCAAGACAACCTGCTGCGGAGCATGCCCACCTTCTGCTTGAAGAGGCGGCTTCCGCTCAGCACGAATGACAGCAGGTCCAGACAGCTGAGGGCAGTCAGACCCAAAAAAACTTCGTTGTAGCTTTCTAACTGGTCAATCTCACTCACATGCTGGATGTAGTAGGCCCTAAAGAGGTGATAGGGAAGGAAGCAAATGATGATGACGCAGATGAAAATCAGGCTTTTCACCTGGGCCCAGAACTCTTGGTGTGACCAGAGCGAGGTGGAATGTTTTCTTGCCACTTTGACCAGGATGAAAATCTGCAGGCCCAACAGGACACAAGTAATGCAGGCAACAGCTACAACTATTGTGTAGTTCAGGGCTTTCACGTTCTCCTGCTGGAGTTCTTTGTGGAACTTAAAGCATGTTGTATCATTGTAGAAGCCCGAGCGTCCATATTCGAAGTACAAGACCGGCACCACAAAGACCATGACGAAGACCCACACGGCAGCGCTTGCTGCGATGGCGTGCAGCTTCCTGTAAAACTCCACCTTGTCCTTCCATTGAAAGAAGATGAGCCACCGGATCACCAGCGTGATGACGTAGAACAGGAAGGTCAAGTACATATGGATGTGGACCATCGCGCTCACCATTTTGCAAAATGGCATCTTGAATACCCACTTCTTCTTGATGTAGTAGTGCAGGCGGAAGGGCACCGTGAAAAGGAGGAGGCCGTGCACAACCACCAGGTTAATGATGGCTGTAGTGGTCACAGACAGAGTGTTCATCTTGACCAGCACAAACAACATGGTGATGGACCCAATCCCACCTCCAGCAAAGGCAACGGAGTAGACAGTGATCAGTATGGCACTCATCATATTGGTGTGACCAAAGGTGGATGAGGAGTCACTGCTGTTCCTGTTCTCTCCAATCATGTTCCTGAAGTCTTCCGTGTACATTTTCTAGAAATGAAAGAATACATAAAGACTAAGATAAAGTAGGAATGAGAGGGCCCACCTGAAAAGTCAGCAGAGCTTTCAACCTGGATCTTGCTCAAGAGATAATCCTGGAATCTCAGAGCTGGCACAAGCTGTAACCAGTAGTTTTATCCAAACCTCCTCTGGCCTAGAGAAAAATGGCTGAGAGGGTTGGGTGGAGAAGCTGCTCTAGTCCTTAAGATGTTGCTAGCCATACCTTAAGAACAAGCATGAGTTAGTAACATGTGGGAAAAAGTGATCCTTAGAGAAATGACATGATTGTGGTGGCTTTCAGCTGTTGTTAGTTTTCCTCTCTTCTGAGCATCTGCATTCTTTTGCAGTGAAGATGAGAGATATTGTTCGTATTCCACCACTCATTCATCAGTTTGTTTATCTGCAACATGAATCCGCCCTTCCCACAGCCAGATAATAACCATATGTTGCTCTATCAAAGCTACAAATTTTGCCTGTTACCAAGAGCTGAGTTTTGCACACATTACAGTCAACTCCTTCCTCTCCATGGACAGTTTATCTAAGAAAGGGATTAAACACCATGGATACCCAGGCTCCGTGGAGATCCTGCTCAGATCTGGCCAGACTGAGGGGCATGGGCAGTTTTGTCCTGCTGCTCAGGGCCATTTCACATCCAATGTGTGGTAACCACATGTTACAAAATGGGCTGTTAGAAAACGTTAGGAAGGGACAGCCTGGGTTAGTGCAAAAAAGTCCTGTCTGGCCTGAGCTGAGGCTAGATGAAAGTTAATAGCAAGTTGAATAAGTATGCTATACATTTTTAATATGCTACTGTTTCAAACAGAGATTAAACATCATTCTTATAATTCTAAACATAACTTCTGGCAGGATTTTTAAGTACTACAAGATCATTGAGTTCAGGTAGGGTGTTATACTGAAGCCCATTTGCATCTATGAAAGTATCAAGAGCATGTCCATGAGTTTTTGCAATTTTTCTTTTAATACTGCAATGTTGCTAACTTCACAAAGTAGTTCCTCTATCTCTTTGTATGAGTGGTGTTTCAGCTTATTTTCATCTTTAGGTAGCACATACTGACACAAGTTGGGAGGGGAAAAAAGTTCTTCAGCAGTTCTCTCTTTTGTGGAAAAGAGGAAATACCTATAACAGTTTTACAAGCTAGTATTACTCACAGTAGGAGATGAATATCTGTGACGCATCTCAGTTTTTGTTGTTTCTTAGCAATAATTCTAAGCATTTGCCCCTACAGTAATCAAGATCTCTTTATACATTGAAAAGTCAGTTATTCTCTAGCTATTCCTATGCATCTAAAACTCCAGATATTTCATTGTAATCAACATAAGTATAACTGCTGTATCTGAAATTGTTGTGTTGGTTGTTGGCACTTACTCACCTTTTCTGTTCGAAACTGCATTTCAGAGCTACGTAGGCAGCTAATTCCAGTGAGTTACGAGAAGTAAAATGGGTTACATGAAAAAGATTTTTCTCAAAGGTACTGCTGGTTGGCACACTGCAGCTCTTGCATCAGAGACCATGCAAGTTCCTCCCAGTTCTGTTCTCGTTTCTGAGATGTTGTGTTTCAGCCTCACCACTGTGCAAGCCAGAAAGGATTAGGAAGATCTGTTCATCAGTTTCTCCAAGCTGTTAAGCTTTCATTTGAAAAGTTGTCTCTAAAAAGTGGCATTATCACACTTTTAATTTTACAATGCATATTTAAAGTTTTAAAAGTATCACAGCCCTAAAGGCAGCATGCTGGAAATGTGGGTTGGTGCAAGCACCCCCAGCAGCGAGGCTGCACTTGGGAAGGAAGGACCCCTCGCGGTCACCCTTCAGAGCCCAGCAGTAAAATGTGAACTGAAGGCAGTAAGGAACAGATAAGCAGAAGTCAGGTAACTGATATTTTCCTCAGACACTCTTATGAAGGAGACAGCAAGAGACCTATTTCTGTCTGCAAATAAGCAACCGAGACACTGAAATGCAGGTTTCTGCAAAATTTTGCTGTCATCGCTAAATCCCTTCATTGTAAAATTCTGCAGAAAATCTCATTTTCATTAATCTTCTTAAAAAAAACCCAACAACCTACCAGCATCTATGATATGAGATTATCAGCTCCCCACTACTATAGGCATCCCACTGAAATATCGTTGTGTGATGAATAGAGAGTATACCACAAGATGGGGGATGTTTCGCAGAGGAAATGCTGCTTTCTGGTGAAATGAGGTTTCCTATTGTACTGACATTCACACACAGCTATAACCTACTGACCTGAAACACAACTCAGAGGTCCTTTGGCCAGAATTTAACAGGAGGCACGTGGAAAGAGAATGAATGCAGGTCTTACAAGAGATTAATTAATTATATGACATAAGGCTATATACTGAACCTCACTGGAAATATGAGCTGTAGAAGTCTCCAAGAGCCAGAAAACATCTCACGGCACAGGAGGAACAACAGAAGAGACCACTGAGAGTGGTATCAAACTATCTAAGAAACGGTCTTCCCCCAAGCTTCTTGGCCCCTTGCCAACATCTACTGCCATAAGCTCTCGCCAGCTCTAACAGCATTGTTTCAGTACCAAATCCAGCTTGCTTAAAAGCAGCTTTTTAAACTTTGTGTTCTACAGAGAGGCTGTACCCTGGTCACCGAGTTACAGTTCGGTCTCATCCCTTCTTGCCTCCTCCCCACACACCTCCTGGCCCCAAACAATGTCCAAAGCACCAAGGACCTCCTTCAGGACTGCACTTTGCCTCACCTGGGTGGCTTCCCTTCGTGCATGCTAATGTTCACTCTCGACATCTGTAAGAACAGGAGTGCAAAGAGGACTTACTTCATTGTACAGCCAAAGGCAGAGGGTTTCTCCTCAAGGAGGTGTTCTTGTGTCTGTGCCTTCCTACCCCTTCTAGCTACTGCCAGCTCAGTGATATTGCTCAAGTTTTGGAGCAAGGTTTGGGCTTCCTCTATGTTAAACCTCTTATCACTTGGCTAAACTTCTGCCGGACATGTGTTTTGAACAGCCATGAGGCAACGATGGGCAACCACTTCATTTGAATGCCCTAGCAGCTCAAGAGACATCTGCTGGTGCCAAGGGCTTGGGGACAAACAGCTGTGTTTTAGTTTGACAAAGGAGGTTGATTGCCAAGAGGCCAGATGCTGGGCTCTTTCAGAAATATGATAAGCAAAAAGATTCTCATGCATACAGGATTCATCAGTTATTGGTGTGGATAAGGCCATCACATTAATTTCCTGTGACTTTCTGTGCAGCACAGTCCACAGGACTTCCCTGGACTGCTCTCTTCAGGTCAGAGCATGTCATTTATGAAAATGACTCAGTATCTCTCAAAATTTTCCTAGTAAAAGAATATTCATTGCAACCCTCAGGAACTTGTTTCTCTTTTATCTTGCTGTTGATAATCTTACTGTTTAAAAAAAAAAAAAAAAGTGACCCATATTTCTAGACAGAATTTGTACAACTTATTAAAAAACCTCAAACCCCTCATTTGTGAAAAAAAATTATAACACTCTTACAATCTCTGCCAAACAGCAAGCTCTACTCTCTGTACAGCAAGTGTTTGCAACATTTATTCCCCTGTATAAATCTGCTGAGGTACTGGCAGGCTTCACACAGATTTTCATGTGTTCCAACAGTTGGGTTCTGCAGAAGAACCATTTGTAGCCTGCATGCACCCAGCTGAGAAGTTTCATTTTATTTTGGAGGGGAAAAAAGTTAAATTCAAATTAAAGATTTCTATTTTTGACAGACTTAATAAAGTGGGAAAAAATGAGTGTTTGTCGGAACTGACATTTCTGCATTGAACTAGACCAGGTTGGAGGCAGCACAAAATACAAATATTATTTAACAAAAGTCTGTTTAAAATGTGCATGTGTTTCAAAAATATCCTCATTTAGTCTCAGAGATGCTTTCTGTTGAGAGCATTGTAATTACTTTTTGATTTGCTCTAATTCCATGCTGTGTCATGGTAATGGAGGCTATGCCACTAGAATAATTGCAGAATTCTCTTCTTTTTAAAATAAACACACACACCTGAAGTTTGAAGTATAAACATCTGTTTAAAGGAAAACATTACAAATGAAAAATATGAAATATCAAGTGCGTGTTTACATTTAGATATTGACTTTTTTTCAAACAACCTTTAGTGATTTCTCTAAGTCAGTCTCTAGCTCATTGACTCATGTCTTTCAGGCTGTGTCATCATTATCCTGGTACTTTCTAGTTTAAATCCATTTTATTGAAGAACAAGTGGGATGGAAAACATGTTGCGTTAATCCTCTTTTGTTCGACATTTTTGCTGTTTTTACACAAAAATGTAAACCATGGAACCTTCCTAAAAGAATGATTATTTATTGTCCTAGCTGTTATCTTAACAAAGAGAACAAACTCACCCTTCTGGTCTTTCCAGAGATCAAATGATATCAAACACACACACACACAGAGGGATGAAAACAAGAAGAACTGCCTCCCAGTCTTAGCATGCAGCACAGAACTACAGGGCAGTGATATGAAAAAGGATGAAGCAATGTTTTCTTGCACTAGGAAATTGCAAATAACAATGATGAAAACAGCCGTGCAGAAAAGCTTTAAAAAGTGTTGAAGGTAAAACAACTGGACAACTGGATACTTTTTTTTTTTTTCCTGAAGTTACAAACATCGTTTTAAAAGCATTGCAAATCAGGGCTTTTGTTCATTCTGTGTGTACTTACAGATGAGAGTTTATCTCCACTCTTCAAGTGTTGTTTACTTGGCTCTTCATGTTATGTAAGCTCTAAGAAGAAAAAACAAAACACCTGATAATTTAGATTCATTGCCTTCCTTCCTTCTCTGAGCCTATGATGAAGCAACTACCATGAGCCTCAGCTATGTGAGGGCAGGGCTGCCCATAAGCATCCAACCTCGAGATGGTTTTTAGCTGCACCACAGAATCCCCTAATGTGCAGCTATTCCTTAGCCATAGGAAGGGTTCAAACCCTCCCATTTTGGGAGGAGCACCTGTATGGTGCTTGCAAAATGGAACTAGTAAATTTTCTTTAAAAAACCATTAGCCATGTCAGTCATTGGCGGTGATGGGTGCTCTGTGGCGTGTGGGGTAATAGATG